CCATTGGCACTCCATGCCGGAACCCTCCCTGTGACGTGCTCTCTGCCTTCTAGTGGGATCTCCAACACTGGATGCTGAAAAGAAATGGCCCTCTTTATTTTTTTTTTGGATCCCAACAGTGTCTCCCATCATCCTAAAGAGAAGATCCAACTGTTTGCTCTTCTCTCTTCTTCCCTTTTTCTTCACCTGGTCCCTGTTTTACTTGCTCAGTGCTTTACAAAGCCCTGACCACCCCTACACACTCACACATGCACGCATGCGATGCACACCCATGGACACGCATGTATGCACACGCACACACATGTGCTAATATGGGGAATGTTGAGAACATTGTGTTCTAGTTGGAGAGGGTCTTGGCTCTGGCATTTAGTAGCTCTGTGACCTAAAGCAAATTACTGAATGTCTCCATGCTCCAGTGTTCATATCCATAAAATGCAGAGACACTATCTCGTGGGAACTGGATGAGGGGCTAGATATGGAAAACCTGAACTCAGGGACTGGCAAGTTTATTAAATGTCTGTTGTACTAATCCACAATTCTCCATCCAGAACTCTTGGGGCCAAATGTGATTCAACAATGATTTCTTGATTTTATTTCAGCAAGTTACACTGCACAACATTTCTAGTGGGATTTGAGGTAGCATCCTGTAATTAAGCTCATTGATGTTTTTGCAATAAAATGTATGAATATTCACACTAAATGGAATTAATATTATAAATAGCCTCAGGTTAGTTCAGGTAATGTTTGGCTGTCAGATTAGTTTCCTACAAACTCAGAGAGAAAGAAAAACTCTCAGATTTCAGAGCTTTATGGATTTTAGAATTGCAGATAAGGGATTATGGATCCATAGTGAGGACTCAGATATCTTGAAGGGAGAGTCGGTAAACAACAAAAAACAGCAAAAACAATAGTATATTTGCTCATTAGGACCCAACTATTATGGCACAACTTGGGAGGATCAAGTGGGAGAATATGAGAGTTGCTTTGTAAAGTGTTGAGTCTTCTGTAAATGGATGGTTCTAGTATTATTATACCCACGATGTTCAGATCTCTCTAGTGCTCAGCTTCCGGCTCCTGATGGGATTCATCGATCATTTTGTTGTCAATGTTATCAGTGTCCCAGCTCGTGTCAGGCTTGACCACAGAGTTTCTGCTGGTAGTGGTGTTGGTAAGGCTGGACCCTATATGGTAGCAGATGGTGAGGTGGTGCCTAAAGAATGCCAGCCCGAGGACAGGAGGGCTGGTGTAGGTGCCAGAGCCCCGTTTTCTTGTCCATGGGCACTGATGTCTCTCACACTCCCTTGACCTTTGTTTCTTTATAAAATAAGAACTCTACATGTTCTGGCCACTTCTCAGGGACTTTGGAGAGTCAGAAGGAGGTAATGTGTATAAAAGAACTTTGCAAACTGGAATATTCCCTATGACTGCGAGGTGTCATGGTTCTTTTAATGTCCTTGATCCTAATCAGAATGTTCTGTTCTTGATTGCCTCGATTCCAATTTGGTCTCCTTCCACTTGCTTTACTTTAACTGAACATTAAGTACTCACTCTCCTTGTTCAAAAATCACCAAAACTTCCCCGTCACCTAGGAAAGAATACCCAGGTTAGCCTAGCATTCAAGGCTGCCCATGACATGTTGCTTTGGTCTGTAGCTGTGGGGACTGCAGCTCAGACCCTGAACATTGTTGTAATGTTAATGGATGCATTAACACTTGTGCTCTGACCTGCAGAGCTATTCCCTGGTGTTGGATATTTCAGAATCCTCCGATGTTTTGCCATTATGAACCATGCTGCAAAAATGTCTTTGTGAATAGAGCTTTAACTGTATTTTGAATGAGTTGAAAAGCCAAGGATTTTGAGCTTGGAGGGACATAACCAGATTTGCTTTATGGAAACATGGCTGGTGATGAGGTGGAGGCAGGAGGCCACTGGGCTGAGAATGGGGAGGTTGCGGTGGTCTGGGTAAGTAGGACGGGGGCGCCATGAAGGCGGTGGATAGAGGGAGTTGGAGATGGAATGGAGAGACATTTAGGAAATGTAACCAACAGGTGTTGTGGGTAGACACAGCCACGGGAGTGGGCAGCGAGGGGGCCGCTGGAGAGCACGGTGGGAAGCATTTCAGGGACATAGATCACAGCGGCTCGGTCTAGATTGTGGAAAACTGAGGACTGATGGGAGGTGAGGAAATGGGACAGAGACAGTGTGGCCATCTCCTCCAAGAAGATTTGCTGTGAGTGAGAAGGCGAAGGGAGGAAGGTAATGTATGTGGGAGGGAGGTTTTGTTTTTTTTGGTTTGTTTTGTTGTTTTTTAGAGGGGGGAGTTGGGGGAGAACGAGAGAATTTTAAGCAGGCTTCATGGCTAGCCCTGAGTCCGATGCAGGGTTCCATCTCACAACCCTGAGACATGACCTGAGCTGATGTCAAGAGTCGGACAATTAACCGGCTGAACCACCCAGGTGCCCCTGGTTTTGTTTTTAAGAAAGGTTTGGACATAGTTAGAAATGAGGAAGGCAGAGTTGAAGACTGAGGACAGAACGAGGATCCTTGAGGGGCATGACCTCCAAGAAGACAGAAGGGTAGATTCCAAAGGGCACTGTGCATAACTTAGAGAAGAGGCCTTTCTTTCCTTCCTTCCTTTCTCTCTCTCTCTCTTTCTTTCTTTCTTTCTTTCTTTCTTTCTTTCTTTCTTTCTTTTTCTTTTTCTTTCTTTCTTTCTCTCTCTCTCTCTCTCCCCCTCCCTCCCTCCCTCCCTTCCTTTCTTTCTTTCATTCTTCCATCCTTTTTTTTCCCAATAAATATTTATTGAGAGCCTACTATATGTCTGGCCCCATACTAGCAGCTAGGAATACATTGGCAAGCAAGACAAAATAATTTTATTCTCAGAGCAGTTGGAATCTAGGGGAGAAGCAGACATCAATTGTAGATTCACATGAATCCATGTAGATTTTACAGTCCAAGGTGAATGTGCTGAAGGAAAGGAGTGTTTCTAAAATCTTACAAAGCAGGAACTTGGTTTTGAGATGGGTGTCTGCAGATACTCCCATGATCAGGTCACATGAGCCAAGATCCAGAAGAAGACCAGGGAAACAACATGCTTTGCAGCTGAAACAGCATGTGCAAAGGCCATGTGGTCAGGGAGAGAATTTGTATTCAAGGGGCTGAGGGAAACTCTTACAGAGTGTGTGGTCTAGAGAGAGGTGTCTGGTGATGCCACAGAGATTCCCTAATATAGACCACACAGGGCGCTCTTGTTACTTTGTCCTCAGGACAAAAAAGTGTTGCTGTTCTATAGGAAGGGAGTACAATGAGCAACCAGTAGAAAGGACAGTCAAAGCCAAGTCTTCCCAGGATGTCACTATTGGATTGAGACCTGGGTTGATGACAGAGATTCCTGAATCACCCTGTCATTGGGAATTCTTGGATCAGTGGTGCCGAGAGCCTGTACAAAAGGGTTCCAGGCTTTGAAGATGCAGAGGGCTGTGGGGCCTAGTCAGCTTGCCATCCACTGCCAGTTGCTGGGTCCCCAGAGAGAGAGGAAAAATCCTCAGTCCAAACCAGGGCACTTCAGTATTTGTCACTTCACTGTGGGGCTGGGGCTCTTGACTAGGACTGCGTGGTCCATCAGGACTTGCTGGGTAAAAATTAATTGTGTGTTGTCATGTCCCAGGGTAATTAACTTGCTAAATTTGATAGCGTTATTTTAAAAAATAGGCATAAATATCTTTCTTAAAAGAGCCAGACGAGACAACAGTCCAGGAAATGGGAAGCTTAAATTCTTTGCTCAGCCAGAGGCATCTTCTGTACATCTGTTCCCCCTTCTCCCAAGACAGGTTCCAGATCCACCTGCTTGGTCGTGTTGAAGCAAAAGGGAGATAACTTGCTTCTTCCGCTCAATTTGCGATTTAAATAATTTCTCATCCCGACGTCTAATGTTGTTGCACTTTTATTTCCTTTCTGAAAACTTTTCATGTGTTATCCAGTATTCCCTATGCCACGTCCATTGTAAGAATTCCTAGTTTGTGTCGCTCATAGACAACGACAGAGTTGGGCCCAGAGCAGAGAAGCCCAGGGAGTGGCAGAAAACAGTGTATGACTCCCCACATATTAGCCCTGCCCTGCTCTGGGTCCCACCCACTTTTCTCTGTCCCTGGATTGGTTGCCCAGATGCTGGGGATGAGAATGGCCAACATGGGAACTGTCCATTGTAAAACTTAACTCAGCCTGGGACTAAGAAGTTAACTGAGGTTTAGAATTGGAGGCTGGCTTTGCCCCTTCCAATCATGCTGAGCTTACAGCAGAGGGTTGGAAAAGTTACTCTTCAGTTTTAGGGGAGAGTCATGGGGTAAGCGAGGGTTGGCAGGCGTGGGGCAGACCCAGGGTGGAACGAGGTGCTCTGGAGTCTGATTATAAATTGAGAAATCCAAACCAGAAGTCTCACCCACAGCCAACTGCTTTCAGAATAAACATACAAAACAAACCTTAGCCTTTTGCTGGAGAAAGTCAGCCTCATAATCATACTTGCAGACAGCAGAACACTTCTGTATATATTAATCTTATTTTCGTTGGGGCTTGAAGGCTAATTCCTGAAATTTGATTGCTTGTGGTTAATCAATGTATCAATATTTATTGAATGTCCAATTTTAGCTCAACACCCATTCAGCATTGTGATGGGATGGAGAAGAAATATTAGATGTGGTTCTTTGCTCTACTAGCAAAATCCAAGGCAAAATCCATGTTAGCTGATTATGGTTTTTTCTCCCTCCCCTCCTCCTCCTTGTGCATTTTGAAATCATCAGAAGCCTACCCTTTATTCATTTGTAGAGTTAACCCAGGAGAAAATGGAAATAAGTCTTCATTAAAACCTGTAGTTCTTTCTTGGGAGATTGGAGAGATTCTAGAGACGTTTCTGGATTCCTTAAAAATAATAATACACATTATTGAAGATTATATATCTGGCAAATAAAACTATAAAACTGGGAAGGTTTCTGTTTATCTTCCAGATCCACAGTCGGCTCTTCTCGTCCCCCAAAGATCATTCTGCTTGGGAAAGAAATGAAGGTCTTTCAAACACAGGTAAAGAGCTGGGCTCTGACCGGGTGACATTCCTGTTCAAGCCTTTATTTACTCTCTCTCCTTTATTTTTATTAATAATGAAATGTGCTTTGGAGACTCATCTCCCCCCAACCTCAAGATGATAGCTCAGAGGCTCTGACAAGATTTGAAGCTGATTTGAATTTCTAAACACCTAGGCTTTTAGGTTGGCAGTCTCTGAAAAAGCAAACAATGCAGAAGAAATATTGGTTACCTCAGGTAGTGCATTCGGGACCCAAGATTACTGCAGATTGCGGGGGTTCAGGCCAGCGGGGTGCAGGGTTCCGCCAGGAATGAGTAATGGGTCAAATATGGAATATTCTCGCAACAGAACAGGCTCAATTTAATTAAGATAGGCATGGTATCTGTGCATTCATAAATTATTTGTCGGGAAGCTTCATTCACAGCCCCTGCACTGCACCAACACCAGTGAGGTGGTTACAGTTCATAACTTTTGTTAAGTTTGTTAACATAGGTGGTGTGGAAACAAGCTTGTTTTTCGCCCATCCGGAAGAGGAATCAGATGGGTTTAGGTCCCATTTTCTGATGGTACTGTAAAAAATCTGAGGTTAATACAGTATTTCAATTCAGAGACTCTAGCAAAATGTAAAAGCATGTTGTCATGTAGCAAATTTTATTTTTCATCCTCATCTTAATTTTAATTTGTAAACGTGGCAGATGACTTGGTATCTATGAAACATATGTATGTGTACGTGTGTATGCTTGTGTGTGTGTGTGATTATACACATGTATAACTTCTCTCTGCCTTACCCCTTACCGCCTGCACATATCAAAGGTATCAGGGACCTGAGTTCCTCTCCATAACGGACACAGTCAACCCAAGACAAATATATTATTTGAAAGAAGCTTTCCTAGTTAATCCTTTCTGGAGCCACAAAGCATGGTTTATAGCTTATTCTTTAACAGTGCCAGATATTTAGTTTGGATCCTTTAAAAACCTAGCCTGGAAATTGCTGGTGGTGAGAACATGAATCCGTGGGCAGGTGCTTCGGGTGGCTTGAACGGCAGGCTCATGAAGCAGGTCTGGCCACCCACACCCCACACGGGGTTTGGGGACATTGAGAAGCATGCCATGTTTTCCTCAGAGCACTTGAGGTAGCGGTGAGCGCAGTCTGGCCCTGGTGACCTCGATGTGGGCATGTCAGTCTGCTTTTCCCTAGGACAAGCTTAGCTCAAAATGGGCCTGATCAGGCACTTCGGCAGTGGATGCCTGCTCGCAAGGTACTTAGCCGCTTAATGACTTAGAAACCTAGCACATGCTGGTCCAGAGGCCACAGGTTAATGGTCCAGGCTGCAGGGAATGTGCCCAAGCAAGCCTGGGCAAGGAGGAGAGGAGATACAGATATTCTGACTTTCTCCCTCCCTCTCTCCCTTCCCTTCCCTTCCCTCCCCTCCCCTCCCCTCCCCTCCCCTCCATTCCCTTCCCTCCCCTTCCGTTCCCTCCTTTCTTTTTTTTTCTCTTTCTTTTTAAATCTGTATTTTCTAAGTTCTGATTATAGAAAGATACTTTAGAGGTTGTATTAATCCTTGGGCATTCTCTTAGAAGGCAGGCATTCATAAGGCTGGGTAAAAAGGGTAAGGCAGATTTTATTCAGGGAGACCCCTACATGGGGTCTTCGAGGAGGAAAGAGTCTGGGCTCCACTTTGAATATAAGGAAGAGTAGGAATTCACCACCAAGGAGCAGGGTGGGGGTCAGTGGATTGAAAATGTCTAAGAGGTAAGGGGGATTTTGGCTAAGTTGGCTGGACAGGTGGGGGATGAGGAATTTGATCAGATATCAAGGGTGGGGGATTTTTTCTAGATGGAACAAGCAGGATTCTTTCTAAAACTGGACTAAATGGGCCAAGGATAGAACCCAAGGGTGAGGCCTTGTCACATCGAGTTCTCAGAGAAGCCTGACTCTGGGTTGATCAAGGAGAGTCTCTGTCAGAGTCAGGACATAAGTGGGCTCCATGCTTCCCCAGCTGGCCGATGCTCTGAGGGGCCATCCAGGCTCTCTGCGTCTTCCTGCAAGGTCATTCCCATCTGTTCAAGAGAAATGACACTGTTAACTGGTCTAAAATGGCAAGACTTGGGAGCTACCGCAGTAGAGGAGGGAAACCCCAGTGGAGAACTGAGCTCAACTCTGAAGGCAGCCAGGGCAGCCCGGGATCTGTAAGCAGCGGTGATGGAAGACTCAGTGCCTACAATATTACCAGGACAAACTTGATTAGATGTCAAGGGTAGGGGAAAGTCTCTTTTAACTGGCTCAGCAGGATTCTCTCTAAATATGCCCTCAATAGGATTCTTTGCTAAAACTGGGCTTGACAGGCCACCAACGGCTCAGAGGAGCCTGACTAATGTTAGGTCAAGGAGGGTGCAGGGACACATCTGTTCTCTGAAAACTGGCCCGAGCAGCCACCCGTACCCTGGGGGCTCTCTCTGGTCTGGTTTGCTGGCTCAGGGCGGAGTAGGAGTTTGGTTTGGGAGTGAGACTCCCTGCCCCACAGTCCTGAGGAGGGCCCGGCACAAGGGGGAAACCTTTATCGGTCCTCTCCGTGGCCTTAGGGGACCCAGAAAGCAGAGTTTTAGAGCAAACTCGGTGTCACAAGGACTAGAAACACACAAAAGGGAAACCATTGTAAGGAAACCAGTGAACTTCATGGAAAGTTGCACCATCAGGTTGCAAAAAGCACAGGAACCAAGGGGACTCTGTGGGCTCTGGCAGCAAGAATGTGTGGGCCCTCGCCTAGAGCTACCATAACAGGGTTCGATGGCTGAGGTCCACTACTTGTGTCTGTCAGGTCACCTTCTCAGGCCCTGTCCTAATTCATTCATCTCAGGTCAGGAAGCAAGGTTAAATACTAGAAACGTAGCTTCTGAGGATCTAATCCTGTGTGTACCTGGCAGGGCAATTCTTCCAGAAAGAGTCCACTGGCCAGGCAGATGTCATCTCATAGAATCTCACGTTTGGGAGGGGCCAGAGGGTCATTTTGTCCAGTTTCTCCCTGATGTCTGAAGCCCCTACTCATTCCCAGGCAAAAGTGGGGAAGCCTCTTTGAGTAGGCGGAACACATACAGCCCCACGGACGGGGGGCTCACCCTCTGAAGGTAGCTCATGACATGCTCCCACAGCTGGAACTTTTAGAAACCCTTTGGATTGTGTTGAGCCAAAATAAAATAAGTTATTTATTTGTTTTTAATCTGTATTGAGAAGGCAAAGAGGACTCAGTAAATATTGAGTTGCTAGAATGCATGACCTGATCCACATTCTAGGAAGACTCCTCCATGTGCTCTTTCAGGCAGGAGATGATGTGGGTTTCGTCTAGGGCAGGAGTGGGCATGTTGGAGTCATTAGAGCACTGGGTGATGACCGAATTTTTTGCAGTAAAGGGGAAGTTTAGGATGTTTCTGGGCAGACAGTGCTGCCATTCGTGGGGTAGGGAATTCAGGGTCCAGGAGATTCACAGAGTAGGGGGGCGCTAGTGGGAGTATCCTGAATTTGTGGGCTTGGAACCCTCTACCTGTGAGAGGCCACCTGCCTTAGATGTCCAGGAAGCATCCGGCAGTTTGGTGTTGAGATCGGAAGACAGGTTAGGGTTGTAGATCTCAATATGACCATCATTTACAGAAGGTGTGTGAGAAGCCATGAGAACAGCTGAGATTAATGCAAAAGGAACTCTATGAGCTGGCTGGCAAGAGGATGAGGCTGCAAAACCTAAGGAGCCCATGCGTGTGGGGTGGCGGCTGGGGGGGTGGCAGCTGGGGACGGGGAAGAAGAGCGCTGTCCTGGGAACCACAAACCTGGCGTCAGGGTTTTGTTTTCTAAGGTGGGGTATTTAGTGCTTTTGACTTTGTCCTCACTTAGCTCTTTATCTTTAGAAACGTCTTTCCACTTGCTCGGGTCTTACTTTGCTCTCAGATAACAGTGGTTTAGGATGCCCCATCTCTGCCGGCTGCTCTAGAACTCAGCGATGTGGGTGGTAAGCCTCTGTTGCAGAAGCGAGATCAGGGGCGTATTTGGTGCAAACAGGGTTCAAGTGCTCATGCACGAAATCAGAAATGAACATCGTCTCCGGATTTTCATTTTTGCTTCCTTCGCCTACACGCTGCAACTATCCACTGCCTCTGTCACTGGAAATTCCAAGACTGGGAAGGGCAGGGAGCTGATTTTTTATGGTAAAATCGTCCCTGTTGGCAAGACCTTCGACATCCAGTTGGCCTTTGTGAAACCTCAGTTTACGGTGATTAATAGGATCCGAACACTAAGAGAGAAACTGTTTCTGCCCAAACTCACATCTGTTTTCAAAGTCAGTGGAAGGTAGGAAGTCGCTTTGAAATTTCCATTCTGTGTGTTACAAAAAGATTCCTTTCACTGTTTCCCCATCACTGTGCTACCTGTCTGCAGACAAGACTGCTGAATCTGAGGATTTAGCAATGGTGGGGAGGGTCACATGCTTAGTTAAGCCGTTTCTGGGGACATCAGTTACGGGAAATGTATGGAAAAGTAATTGATGAAGGGACACCTGGAATTTTTAATTACTAATTCACTTGGCTTAGGAAGGAAGGTGGGACAGAATAAAATTTTCTCCCTCCTGATCAATTAAGCCCGACCTTTACAACTGGCAGTTTTTAAAGGATGTGTCTTTGATTGATGAGTGGGATGAAGTAATTATATTTCACTTAAAACTTGAGGGTCATTGCTTCTCTACTCCAGCTTTTATAAGAGCAGTGATTTGCTACCTTCGTAACCGTACTTTTCAGTTTCATTAGTACTGAGTCAAAAAGTTAACTGCCCCTACGCAACACATACCCTTGACCATCCCTCAAGGAAGGATTGGTCTGTTACCCCTTAAAAACCACCGAGATGGATGTGAGTTGTATTCCGTTTCTCTTCTGCAATCTGTAATGGCAATTTCTCTATGAACAAGGTCCAGCAGGGCCACCATATTTATCTGTTTTCCCTGAAAAACCATGTTTT